GAGGACAAGATGCGGGAAGCAAGACTCAGATGGTTCGGGCACATTCAGAGGAGGAGCACTGATGCACCGGCGAGAAGTTGTGAGCGACTGGTTGTGGTGGGTACGAGGAGAGGTAGAGGGAGACCTAAGAAGTATTGGGGAGAGGTGATCAGGCAGGACATGACGCGACTTAGGATTACTGAGGACATGGCCCTTGACAAGGAATTGTGGAGGTCGAACGTTAAGGTTGTAGGTTAGGGAAAAGTTGTGGATATTTTTACAGCGCACTAGAGTGAGACTAGCCAGTTAGGAGTTAGTCTTAGGATGCTACTGATCAGCTACTGATGCAGGGCTTTATCTGTTGGATATTAGTATACCTTCCATCTTTTTTGTATTTTCTATATTTCTTATATTGCTGTTATTTTATGTTATGCTATGTATTTTATGTTATTTTATTATGAGTCTATTGATAGTACTAATATATCGTCTCTTGTTGCTTTTTTGAGCCGAGAGCCTCCTAGAAACAGCCTCTCTGCCCCTCAGGGTAGGGGTAAGGTCTTCGTACATATTACCCTCCCCAGACCCCACTTGTGGGATTATACTGGGTTATTGTTGTTGTTGTTGTATTTGTCTTTATATAAATTGTTATCAGTTAACTATAGTAAATTGATACATATTCTCACCTATTTTTTGTCACTGATCATGGTAAATTAATATAATTTGATATAAACATCAAGTATCCTAATAAATTAATATAATTTGATATAAACATCGAGTGTAAGTAAGTTTTTCATGTTCTTCTTGTGCGGGTAACTTATAGCAATTTTGTGATTTTCTAACATTTAGAAGTATGTCATTTAATCCTTAATCTCCTCAGCCGGTACCTGATCTCCTTGTTTGCATCAGTCCACTCCAATGGACCAAAAAAAGTACAAATAACAATGTGCTGACATGACAAAATTATCATAAGTAACAAGAAATTTCTCGTACTGCAATGAGAATAAAAAGTATATTGCAATTGTCAATTTTTTTTTGACATATTTTGTGAGTTCCTATGATTGTTTTTCCCTTTAGAACTTTGAAATCTACGTTGTCCTCATTAGTCTCCTAAGTAATACGTCCCTAATGTAGTAATATTGGTTCAAAGAGTTTGAACTCTTATAAATTTCTCATATACCTATTCATACAACTCAATAATCCCATAATTTTGAGTGCTTTCTTTGTTAACCTCAAAACATAATACTATGATATTTCGGTATTATGTTAGTGTTGTATTTTTTGTTTTGCTCTCAATTTGGGTTAGTATTGAAGGTCGTAGTATTTCTGAATTCTTGACCGAAGAATCAGAAGGAACAAAATGGGCTGTCTTAGTTGCTGGCTCCAATGGCTGGGAAAATTATAGGCATCAGGTTATCATAACTATTTTTCTTTTACATTGTCTAATCCTTCTTTTTTAAAATATTTATACTAGAAGCTCCGCAATTTTTTTACTAATTATATTTTATATAGTAATTACTTAGGTAAAATTGGTTCTGCATTTTATTCCTCTAAAAATATTTTGTAACTAATCCTAATTTCAGACAATTTTAAAATTCTTACATTTTTGTATAGCAAGTTAAAAAATACCTACGTCTTGAATAAACGTTGTCACAAATAAGGCAAAATTAGAAACACTTGCAGTATTAGAAAATATAGCGATAAACTGTAATAACCTAAATTTCAATAGAGATTCTTTTGCAATTAGCCTTAACTTAAAAGATAAAACAACAGAAACAGTGGATAAAAAACTTCTCGCGAAAAAGAAAAACGAAAGGGTTTCTCCATTTCGCTAGTCCTGATTTAGCCCTAAATAATGGAGCAAGTATTTCGGTGCAAGTTAACTTATAAACTCAATGGTGAAAAAAAATATTACATTTATCCAAAAGATATTTATAGATAAAATACGGAATTTATAATCTTAAGCATAAGACGTATTACTTGCTACAACAGTTATAGTATAAAAATTCTTTACTCGAACTCTTTCATATTTGAAAAATTAAAAATAGTTGTTGACATTTTTAATTACTCTTTTTTAACTTCAATTTGAAATACTGATCTCCTAACACTCCTCCCCCTTTTCTCTTAATAACTTTAGGCAGCTAAATTGATAGAGATTTTATAATTCAACTTATATTAAAAGATCAAACGAGAGAAAGAATTTCTCACAAAACAAAACAAAACAAGAAATAAGTAAATCAAAATAAAAAGGGAAAGCAAAAACACTATAGTCCCTGAATCACTTCACTGGGTCGCTCTTAAGAAATGCTGGCGGATCCTTTTTTAAAGAATTCATACGGTCCAAATCAAAATCAAAAGGAAAAGCAAACACTATAATGCATTTTTGATGAATCCATACGGGTCCGAACAACATAGCTTACATATTTCTTTGGTCATTTCAGGCACCAATTACTAAAGGATGGAGGTCAAAACATCATCCTATTCATGTACGATGATATACAATAGAGAGAACCCCAGACCTGGAGTCATTATCAATAACCCATATGGCCATGATGTTTACAAAGGTGTCCCCAAGGTTTGTTTTTGTTCTTTCTGAGTTCAATTCCTTGAAAATTTTATTTCAAGATTATAGTGTTTGCTTATGAGGGGTTATTTTTTATTGATGGAAGGCAGGATTATGTGCTTGAAGATGTTAATGCTAACAATTTTTACCATGTTATCCTTGGAAACAAAAGCGCTGTAGTTGGGGGCAGTGGGAAAGTAGTGAACAGTGGTCCAAATGACCATATCTTCATCTACTATCCTGATCATGGTGGCCCGGGTGTGGTTTGTAAGTAGCCTCTCCTCACATTATTACACTCTATATTCTACATAATAACTTTTGCTTAGTCTTATGTTTTCACATTTTTGATAGGAGAGGGGATTCTTGAATGCCATTGCTAAGAATTTTGGATTATTAGTCACTGTAGTTGTGAATATGCATAATCAATTATTGTTAGGAACGTCTCGCCTAATGCCACGGTTAGGCAGTTGGAAATTTCAGCTAATATTGATCACAAAATTGGTGATTCTCTCCTGGTTTTTATCATACTTTGATAAACTGATTAGAATATGCAAAATTGTTTCATGCTTTTACTGTTATCAGCGATGCCAAGTGGAGAAGATGTTTATGTAAATAATCTAGTTGATGTGTTGAAAAAGAAGCATGCTTCAGGGACATATGACAGACTGGTAAATTGGTGTTTTAGTTTTTTCAGCTTTCTTTTCCTTGGCACAAGTTTTGATCAGTAAAATTTTGAAGTCTATAATCTCCATCTTTAGGTGTTTTACTTAGAAGCTTGTGCGTCCGGAAGCATGTTTGATGGTCTTCTCCCTGAAGGTCTAGACATCTATGTCATGACTGCATCAGAACCCAATGAAGATAGTTGGGCGACGTATTGTGGTGAGGGTACTCCTGATGATCCCTGCTTGGTTGAGTGTCCCCCTCCCGAGTTTCAGGGTGTGTGCTTGGGAGATTTGTACAGTGTTGCTTGGATGGAAGATAGGTATAAACAATTTTTGTCACCTCCTTTTTGTTAGTCAATGGGCAAAAAGTGAGTTGATGCATTTTATTGATTTTAGGCTTCTTCCCATATGATCTAGTTTGTTAAAAAGCCGATATATTTTGAGTATATCATGATCTGTCAATACCAAAACTATAAGCTTGTCGCATTGTTAGGAACGAGTACGCCAAATACAGATTCTTGTATTTTCTCCGATAATTCTAGGATGAAGTTTAAAAGATGAATTTTATACTTAGAAGATGACTTATGTCAAACTAATAACTGTTTGCACTTGTGAACAGCGATGTAACAGATCGTGATGCTGACAGTGTGCAAGGGCAGCATAGCCGATTAAGAGTTTGTTCTGTTGTGGACAAATATTGTATATGCTTTTAGCAATTTATTCAAAAAAATAGAAGAGCAATTTTTAATGCTTCAGATCCTATATGCTACATCTATGCTTTTTTTTACTTCTAATGGAAGCTTTATGATTTCATTTAGTCACTCATGTTGCAAATAGAACTGCAGCCAACATAACATTTGGTGGCTATGGCTCCCATGTCACAGAATACGGTGATATAGTGGTGAGCTTTGATCGACTTTCCACATATATGGGTGAAGCTTCCACAAACCACAGTCATGCCTTTGTGAATGCCATGTCATTCTCGACATCATCAAAGAGTGTGGATCAGCGCACTGCTGAACTTTTCTATTTGTTCACCAAAGTATGTTTCTACCTCTTTTTGCAGCACAATTGGTAGACTTCTTTTTCCTACACCACACAATTTCCATTCATTTTTTTCTGAATGTTTGCAGCACCAAAATGCCCCGGAAGGCTCTGATGAGAAATTCAAAGCTCACGCGAGACTTACTAAAGCTATATCACAGAGATTGTAACAATACTGTCGATGAACCAGATACTTCATAACATTTTGCATAATTCTCAAAACTGTCGATGAACCCCTTTTATCCATTTGTCACGTGCTTCCCTACTCAACCTGGATCCCAAGCAAATCTCTTGTTGGGCTGTCTAATTCCTTGGCCTTTTCGCAGTTTAGCCCTCGGCCCAACAGCTTGGCTAGCCTCGGTCCAAATAATTGACCCACAAGCATTATTGGAGTTATCCATGTTCACAACAGAGAACTCAAGTGGACAACAATGTAAAACGTCTTGGGGAGCTTCTTTTTTGTGTTGAAAAAGGTACTGAGGTACTACACAGTGTTCTACCAGCTGGACAACCACTTGTTGACAGCTGGGATTGCCTTAAGTCCTACGTAAGTATTTAACTTGGCGATAAAGGCAAGATTCTTTGTGGTACTTCAGTTCAATCTTCGTATTTTTGGTTCTTTTAATGAGAATACATGACCACTCTATTCCTGCGAATAGGTTAAGATATTTGAGGCACATTGTGGAAGATTAACCTCGTATGGAAAGAAACACATACGTGGTATAGCCAACATATGCAACGCTGGAATTACGAGTGAACAAATGGCTTCTACATCTGCACAAGCATGTTCAAGTTAGTAGAGGGTATTCTTGGCAAAAGGATATAATGTATGTTTAGCCAGTTTGTGTCATGGCTGCAAAATTTCACTTTTGGTAGATAGCTACACACAGAATAACGCTGCTGAGAAGCAGAAATTTGCCCCGTTTCCATGTACTAAAGCTTTTCAACAATGAAGCATTTTGATCTTTTTATTTGTTCACCAAGTCTTGTTCAATATCAGTGGTCTTCTATTTTGAATAGACATGGTTAAGTAGCTTATAAAAAACAAGTTATGAAAGCAAAAAAGAGGAAGAAGACAGATTACCAAAAAGGAAAAGAAGGATTCTGATGTAAAAATATATTTCCCTCTTATCATTCTTGAAATATTTTGATCACCCAAATACTGCAGGGTTTCTTTTATAGGTTAGATGCTTTTACTTTTTTGGTAGAACCTAATATCCTAATTTTGTTTGTACAAAACACAGTTACTTTTTTTGGGCTGGAGTATCATAAATGCATATAAACAGAACTCTTCCTGCAAACCAGATTATGGATTGGGGCAAATTAAGAGTCTATGACTCGGCGTGAAGCCACATTTTTAATGTTAAGAAAATATTTGTAGCATACTGTATTATGCTTCTCTCCGTTTTAGCCATCTTAAAACTTCTTCCCAACAATGGCATCTTTGAGAGAGACAAACGTTGATTTTGTTGACTATTGGAGGGACTTTCATGCAGTAATAGAAAAAGAAGCTCTTCTTGCAACCTTCAATATGATTTATGTTCTCACCACTCCAAAGCTTGAATTACTAGGCGAGTGGAAACTGTATGTTCTATAGGGCATATCCGCGGCTCTATGTAAAACATACTATAATGTGATCAGCACAAAAGGACTATTTGACAAATTGGAGGAAAAAAATACATGAAAGAAGACGCGAGTAAGTAAAGAAGTCTCTTGCGACCTGTTTTCTCAATTGTAAGTTGAGTGATGGTAAGTCTTTCATGACATAAATTTGCTAAAATTGAGAGGACTATTAATAACTTTGAACAAATAAGATGCATCTGCCCTATTGGGGCAGGGGTAAGGTCTGCGTACACATTACCCTCCCCAGAACCCACTATGTGGGATTCTACTGGGTAGTTGTTGTAAATAAGATGCATATGGATAATACCATCAGTATTTGGTCTGTCATTCAGAAGCTTGCTCTGTCATGAAATGACCTTTTTTCTAATTTAAAAGAAAGTCAAGCATATATTCCCTTTCAAACATAGTTTGTTCAGGCAGAGCTTTTGCATAGTAAGAGTTATATACAATGATGACGAACTATAACAATAGTTACAGTAAGATATCTGCTTCTAGTACATTTCAACTCAATAATGATGCGCTTCTAACCTGTATTTACAAGGAAGCAATTATGCTAAAGAACCATCTTACAATAACTATATCAATCTTCATACTGAAAATCACGACATTGAGCAATCATACTGATATTTAGCATTAGATGCCAATCATGCACTAAAACCCCTGTGGAGGGAACTCCAAGTATTGGATGGAAAGCTGGGACAAGCTTGTGCTGATGCCTCCACCATCTGCTCCATCTTAATTCCAACGTTGCATATGTTGGCAATGGAGCGCATATGTTTCATTCCATACTGGGATAACGATCCACAATGTGTCTCAAATGTTCTTACCTGTACAACACAAGGATAAAGAAGTCATATTGCCGAAGAATATAAGCCATGACACCATCCAAACTAACGATACATCCAATACAAATGATTTGTGCCACATACCCCATATATTCAAACAAGCTACAAGAGAATAAAATTTCCTTCCCACCAGCAAATTTTGGAGATATTGATGAAAATGGGGTGTGTACTTACAAATGATTTAAGGCAGTTCCAGTCATCAACAAGAGGATGACCAGCAGGGCGGACACTACTTAGCACCTCTGGACCTTTTTCAATTCCAAACAGAAGTTTACCGACAAGGGCTATGCTGTTGTCCAAGTGCAATCTATGTGATATTGCTTCATTTAACTGTTTCTGAGCCTCTACTTTCCTCACAGAGCCTTCAGGAGCCTTGCGGAACTGCCAGTTTGGACAACAGAACAGGGAAGTCAGATATGAAGAATTTTCTTTGTTTAGGGGCAGAAGGACTATTCTACGACAGTAGGACTCACGAAACTAGACGAACTAGGCACCAATTTTCATTCAGCAGTGCGTAAATAAAGAAGTAGAATCATGTTTTTCAGATGAAACTCTTTCTCTGCACTGCATTTCAATGACAATATTACTCATGTTTTGAAACCAGTAGAAGCATCATTTTGGCAGCTTAAACTCACAAAGTGTGCCGGCACTAGAATTAACCTCAGAAAAAGTGTGCTTTGCTTTTAATACGAAAAAAAAAAAAAAAAACTCAAAACATAAAAGAGCATAATAATACGCCACATTGGCTCTTTTGAACCCTAAGAAACTTTAATTTCAAGATCACTATAGCTTTGCTTGATTAAAAATAGTTCATTCAGCTTAATACCACCTCAGTACACATTCAATGATCCAGTTGATATCTGAAATGCTCAACTCTGAACTATTCGGTGAATTATCTATACTATATTAAAAGTGGAAAACCTTAAGTCAAAAGTTAAATTACTAAAATACCCCTCCTTATTTACTAAACTAACCCATTTAATTTAACTATTAAAAATTTAAAAACTACAGATAGATGCAAGTGGCAGAAGCCTACTTTTAACAGCCAAGCAATGTTTCATATGCCCCTTCTTTAAGATTTCCTTCCATGCACAAACCTCCATTTATAATCTATTTAACTATTCTTATTTTCAGTAATTTTGTAAAGTCCTGTTTATATAAATAACATAGTAGATAATTTTAAGTTATGACTATGTTACTTATTTCTCCAAATTGATATCAACCACAGAGTTCAAAATTAAATTCTAAAGGTAGTTTGATTGACGTAGACTTTTGATTAATTTGAAGGTCTAAATGTTATGGAGTAGATCTAACTGTGTTTGCTGCTTATGCCCTTAAATTGGGATGGCAAACATGATTCTAAAAATGTTTCGTTATTCTTGCTTTAGTGATCTTCTTAATTTTCGTTTTCAGGAAGAATTGGAACAAGGAACATATCATCGCATCTGCACTCCTTTATTTGAGTACGTACTCTCCGTTTATTACTAAATTATCTTCAACAAAACCTTTCTTAATATACTTTTGTTACCACGTCAGCCCTAAAGTTGGAGATTGCATTTTTTTTAGCCTTAAGGGTAGGTTTCTACACGAATTATCCTAAACAAGAGTCTTTGTTTAAAGTCCTAAATTCTTAGATAAGGTAAAAATGTGAAGAAAAAAATATGATTTACAGAAGTTTTATTCGTACCATTGCTTCTTGCGGGTCTGACAAATTTATTCTTTTGTTTGTCAGCACCAAAAAATATACATGTGGCTGAGCAATGAAAATATTAGTAACTCGAACAAGTTTAGTAAGAGGACAAAGTTCGAGTCACATTGTAAATTTTAGTCCTATAATATTGGTTAACAAAAAATAACGTCATTTTAAATTTGTATTATATTTTTTACTTATTTATAATATTTTTATTAATTACATCAGCTGCTGGTTAAAACTTTTAAAGTAGGTAAAGACGATCCAAATAACATTCTTTCTAATCATGTAAAAAAGTGAGGATTTCTCTTAACCAAATTGAAGCTATTATATTATTAATGACCGAATGAATCATGTTAACCCCAATTACTCTTCAATGCACAAAGAAGTTGAAATAATTTTTACTAACAATGCCATTATACAAGAATCCAACAATGACATTTCTATCCAAAAATTTCAAAATGATTTGTATCCTGGGAAGACGGGGAAAATATAGTGACGGCACTATCTTTGTAAATTTTTGAAGGAATTTATGAACTACTTTCATACATAATTAGTTCATACTTATTACTAATTTTAATTTCATACTTTTGTGATGTAATTGCAAGTTAGTAATAGTGGTACTACTTTCAAGACGAATATTAGTATAGACAACAAGAGTCCTGACCATGATAGAACAACTGATTCGAATAAAATGAAAATATACTAGGAATATAGTCTATAGAGAAGTATTAGATAAGGTACTGGTCATTAATACATGTTTGTACCTCATAAATCAAAATAAGTAATATTATTTTACATATATAAAATTGAACTTTGATTGTTCAACTTCCTAGGTGTAGACGATATCAATCATCTTAATCTCGACATACTCTTTGATGTACAATTATTTACTCAAAGATTTATTTTAATAATATGTAATATTATTATTTCAAAAAAGCAGGAACCTTTAAATTTAAAAATTGAATTACATATATATTTGCCCTATTTAAAACCTAATGATCCTAATTAAAGAAAACAATTCACGTTGAATCAACCACCTTTGTGCGAGCGAATGTGTTTCTTCATAGAAGAAGTTGTGCCCTTCAGAAAAGTTACATTATTTAAACTTCTCAGTCCCAATTATGAATTTATACCTCCAACTACTCAATGAAAATTTACTTATTCAAACTTCCTTGATTGTACATCCTTTTGGCATCTTTTAGAGTCTGGTGCTCTATTTTTATTTCGAAGTTGCTGCTTCATATTCAGTGTAGCTTGGGCTTTACACCGGTGAATCACTATCTGCCAATTTAATTCACATAAGTTTGGTAGAATATTTTGTTGGTTAGTCCACTTATGTTACTATTACTTTATCTTGATTTCATTGATAGATGTTGTGAGCCTGACTTCGATAATTATTGTTTTTCAACTACGTGTAATTTTGGAATGGCTTCTTTCGGTTGGTATATCTTGCTTTAGTTTCATTAGTCTTGAGATATTGACTGTACAATTTTCTATTAACATAAATTGGTCCCTGAAACCTTACATCAAATCAATTAAGTATTGGAAAAATGGACTCACTTGCTTCAACCAGTATTGAAAATGTATGACCTATTTGGACGAACAACGCAATACTAAAATTCATCATTTTGGCAAATGTATTTNATATATATATTATAGGGACCTTTTCCCTAAATTTTATTTAACTTGCTTATCGAATTTTATTAATTTGATGAGATTTGAACTTTCACACTTATTGATTTATAATAAATGTTACTTATAGATGTATATGATAAAGTTGGAGATTGTACATGATGTGTACATTAAAATAGGAAAAGCAAGGCATGAGTATTTCAGAAAAGAGCAATTAACCTTGAGAAGATAATTATTTGACGGTGTAATTGATACTGTTATGGTTGAAGGACATAGAGAAGGCAAAGTTGATATAAAAATGCTGCTTCTGACATCGACTATTGGAGCAATAAAATTACGAAAGGGAGATATACCAAAATTTAATTGATAATGTGATGGCTAGAGCGATAATAGAGTTTGTTAGATAGCCTTTGACTTTTTACATAAAAAGCCTTACGGTTACGCATGCATGAATGCTAGGTTTTTATATTCAAATTTGTAATTTATAACTAAATCAAATATTTTTCGAATATGTAACATTTACTATTTTAAGTATATATATATATCCTGTAAAAAATAATATGAAAGCAGAGAGACTAGTTAATTTAAAAAAACAGAAAGAAAAAAAATATCACATGGCAAGGAACATCAGATACAAAAATTCAGTGTTTCTTTGACCTGAATATTATGTGGGAGGCCTCTATAGTAGTTATGTCACCTCAAATATGATGATCAAATAAAGTACTCATTGGCACCTAAAGGTGCCTGCTTTTATAGATGATATTACCACTAGTTGATGCGCATTTATTTCGTGCCGTTTTACAGGTGTAAGTAAATTTCTTCTTTCATCCTTGGGATACTAACGTCTACCATATAAACGCATGTAAAATTGGAACATACCTTTGTGCCAGAAATGCAGAAGATATGCATCACGCTGGTTGACAGCCGTTGATACTCGCAAGGAATTGTCATCCATAAAAGTGTAATTATCATTTGCAGGATTTGTACCCATATATAAGTATAGAGCATCCTTGCTGAGATGTAGATCACCATATTGCATGACATGCGAACCATAAACAGGATTCCCAGTAGCAGTTCTCTCTTTGACCTGCAAAAAGTGCAACATTCGTTATTATTCACAACAAGAACCAAATCATCAGAGTATAAAAACACCCACCTCCCCCCTTGTTCCTTTCTCTCACTTTCACAGCAGAGAAGTATTGGCTTCACTTTCTAAGTTCTTCATTCTACTATAAATTTAAATTTTTCTGCTGAAACATGCACCCTATTAGATTACCACAATTCTCCACGTCCATAAGATCTTACCAGGTGATATTGCTGCTTCACACTTTCAGTCCGCAGGTTGTGTAATTCACTGCTCAGGTACAAAGATACAGAGTCAATAAAAAATTATGCTGCTGAAACTAATAAAGATAATTTCATAAGTAGATTTAAAGTTATAGCAACTATGCCTTAATCTCAACTAGTTGGGGTCGCTAATTAGCATATTCATAATTCCATAATAAGAAAAGTTGACTGTGAAGGAATAACAAATGGAAAGAAATCATCATAAAGCTGATACAGAAGTTGTACTGTCTGTCACACCTCCTTTTTACGCACCCCAGGGGGCGCAGGGGAGTTTTTTCCCAATTAAAGGACAATCGAAACGGGATTGGTTTAATTATTTCAGAGTCGCCACTTGGGAGATTTAGGGTGTCCCAAGTCACCAATTTTAATCCCGAATCGAGGAAAAGAATGACTCTATATTACAGTCTGCGTACCAGAAATCCGGATAAGGAATTCTGTTAACCCGGGAGAAGGTGTTAGGCATTCCCGAGTT